TCAGTAGCATTACATTGTCATCAAACAAACTCGGGAATTATATTGCCTGCTTATTCACAAAAACAACTCTGACGTCAAAAATATATACATGGCAATGATAAGTTTTCATTCAAAATTTTTTACTCTCTGTAATCTGATAAAATTAACTATCTCCACCTTGGCTGCCAACAGTGTTCCAGACAATGGCTGCTTTGTCGGTCTGGCTCCCAGAGTGAGGCTGATGATGTAGAGGGGAGCACCAGCAATGGACATGGAGCATTAGCAGAAATACATCTTTGTTGTTTAAGCCCCTGAGGTTCAGTAATTGTCACAACATAATCTTGTCTCTCCTATAGGAGAGACACCTTCGTTTTGGCAGAGTACACCATCATAAGGTTCTGGAAAGAGAGTGGATGAAAAACACATGTTTATGCATGTCTGAAACTAGTCTATCCTCAGATGTTATGGAGAGTTTGGGTGGATATTGTGTTCGGAGTGTTATGTTCTCCATAACTGTGCAAGCAGTGTTTCCTTTTCTTCTCTTTTCTAGCTTCACTGTTGAGAAGTTTAGTTTCATTCTTATTCTTGGTGCTTTGTACAAACTTTTTTTTCCTGTTAGCCTTTTCCTTAACCCTCATGTTAAGGAAAATTTTATGATAATGTGCTTTGCTGGGGGTTTTATGTCCGATATTTCACTTCTGGGAACAGTTTTAAATTTATTTGATAATTTCCTGTCTTTCATGTTCCCCTTTCTCTCTTCCCCGTTCACTCTTTCTACAATTCCTACTCAGTGGATATGGTCTTTCGATTGGAGATCCTCCAATTTCCGTATTTATTTTTGTTGTTGCTGTTACCGTTGTTGCATCCCTTTATCTTTTTGTTGGCACCTTCTGTACTTTTGGGAAATGTTTGTGACTTTTAAGCTTTCTTTTTTTGATGTTTGCAATATCTTCACATATCTCAACCATGTAATTATAGATTTTTTTTTCCTGTTGTTTCAGTCTCTCATTTTCCAGGTTTCCTTTTTTGTTGTGTTGTTGTTGTTGTTCCTGGTATCTCTTCTGTACTCTTCTCTTGGTCTGTGTCTTTCATGTCAGGTTGCCAACTCTAGGTAATGACTTCAAAAGTGGTATTAGTAGCTTAGGCACCAGCTCTTATGCCAACTCTAGCACCAGCTCCAGTACCTGTAGAGTTTGGGCCAGCTCTTGAACAAGCTCTAGAGCTTCACACAGCTCTGGGTCCTCCTCCATCTGCAGAGCTGAAAGCAGTGCCAGCTCTGGAACCGGAATCCACTTCAGACCAGCTGCAGAGCAGAGCTAGAGCCAGCTCCAGGGATAGAGGGGGTTCCGTCATTAACTGCAGCACTGGCTCCAGCAGCAACTGCAGAGCTGGGGCCAATTCCAGAACTCATCCTAGCAGCCGCTCTGGTGCTAGAGCCACCTTCTGCCCTGGCTCCAGAAATAGTGCTAGGGCTAGCTGCAGAGCTATAGCCAACTCCAGCCTGAGCTCTCGTACCCACTCCAGACTTAGTGGCAGCTCCAGCTCCAGCTCTAGCCCCGGAGCCACTGTCAGCTCCAGATTTAGGGTCCTCTCCGTCACCAGTTTTCATACCAGGTCTGGCAACAGCGCCAGACTTAAAGTCAGCCCAGAACTAGAGTTAGTTCAACGACCAGCTCTAGCACTGCAGCCAAATTTGACATCAGCTCTAGAGCTGGATCTAGCTACACGTCTAGTGCCAACTCCATCCCCATATCCACCACCAGCATCCGAGGCGGTCAGCTCCAGACCTAGAGTCGGCCCAGCCACCAGCTCCCGTGCCAGTTCTGAGCTCCAGCCAGTGCAGCTCTAGCTTTCTGTCCCCTCTCGGGGAATGGCATCTTTTTTGGTTCTGTTTTGTTTTTTCAATTTATGTTTCATACATTTGTGGTTTACCGTATTTTGTGTTTTACAGTTCACATACAGAAAAATCCTTAATCATTAAAGGGTCTTATTTGCATGTTCTTGTTTTGTTGAGCCAGTGGAGTAAGTGAATTATTTTCTTTTAAATGGTGCTATGATATTTTGCTACTATTCTTAAATTTTGTTAGAGCTTTTCTTATCTGTTAATGGCTTCTTTTTCTAATCTTAAAAATACGAATGATTCCCAAAATTCAGCCAGACCTAGGTCTTTTGTTCCTCTTTCTGATTCTTCTTCTCTCTTTTTTATTTTTTTTATTTAAATTCAATTTAATCAGCCTATAGCGTATTATTAGTTTCAGAGGTAGACTTTAGAGATTCATCAGTTGCATATAACACCCAGTGCTCATTCCATCTTTAGAGACTTTTGCCTGATGGTCTGCCTTAATATTTTTATGCAAATAATTCCAAATTCCACATTCCATTTTGATATACCATATCACTCTAAATCCAACAAGTATGAACCTGTGATTTTCCTCAAATGTGTACCCTTCTTATTTTCATAATACTACCATTCTTCCTGTCATTCATGCTAAAAACTTAAACCTTACATTGTTCCACTTTTTTACTTTAACCTTTAAATCCGATTTCTCATCCAGTCCTGACATCTCTTCCTTGTATAGTCTCTTAATTTCCATTTCCCTATTCGAAATACCAGTGTAATGTAGGCCCTTATTGTTTCTCTTGTAGAAAGGCATATAAAACAATCTTCTACTGTTTCCTCTTGCTCAAGACTGACAAATTACTCTTCTAAAACACATATTTCTTGAATGAAGTCTTGCAGTCACACACTTCATTGGCTTTCTCATCCTTTAAACTCTAATGTCCTTGACTTGGCTCAGACTTATTTCTGCTGTTCCTTTATCAAAGATTGCAAATTAGTGTCTCATGGGCTGAGGCACCTCACAGATATCTTTTGTTTGATCTTTGATCTGAACAGAGTTTTCAAAACATTTTACTCTATGATCTTTTAGACACAGTATAATTTGGGATGCATATGTCATACCTGAATATGTACTTTGAAATATCTTCTTGAAAAATCCCGTGCATATTAAAGTTTCTGCTGATAAAAGAGCCTTGGTGTACAAACAGTATCATAAAGAAAATCATGTTTAAGAAGTTGTCTGTAAGAATTTATTCTTCAGAGTGTCATGGTTCTTGTTATATAAGAGTCAGTTTTCTCTTTCAGCTGATATCACAATAAATGTCAAGCATTCCTGAGAAATTTGCACATTTTGTGGTATATTGGTTTGCAATAAATATAGGATATATAATGGGAATATACAAAATATATAAAAGGATGGTAATATAAACCATTTTATTAAAATATAAGAAAAAGAGTTCCCTGTAATTATTTTCAATAGAAATGATTTTAAAGTTTTAATAAGCACTGTAAAATGCAATAGTGATCTTGTCATTTAGATGAATTTTCGTTAAAGGTTATGTATGATAGCTAGAAGTGGCTTTGCTAAAACCATTTAGCAAACCATAGAACCATTTAGCCCTTTATAAGATCATTACTGTCCCCAGGCTTCCACATCTCTTTTCCCAAGTTGTTGATTCTCCTGGTGGGGAAATGTAGATTCATGATGCATTCTTCTGTAATTCTTCACAGATTTACTTCGAGCAGAAAATATTTACAAGCCAAGTACCTACTTTTGGGGACCACATTTATTCCCTGTATATATGCAAAGCTTTAAAAAGGCAATATGATCAAGAGTAGAGGGAAAGGTTGACATGGAGACTGTTTTTTGTGAAGCTGAATTTGTGGCAAGTCAGCTGACTACCTCGGTGTAGAGCAACTTAGTAGTAGGAAAATCATGGAGAAAAAAAATCTATAGATGAGTGATATGAGGGATCAATAGGGATTTTTTATGAAATGTATTAACGAAGCATTTATTTATAGTACTATTGAAAGGGATGTGATTTTTAATTCAAAAAATGCAATTTACCAGCTATATAAAAAAGCAAAAAATCAGAGGGGGAGATGAACCATGAGAGACTATGGACCCTGAGAAACAAACTGAGGGTTCTAGGGGGATGGGGGTGGGGGGATGGGTTAGCCTGGGGAAGGGTATTAAAGAGGGTACATACTGCATGGAGCACTGGGTGTTATACGCAAACAATGAATCATGGAACAGTATATCAAAAACTAAAGAGTGCGTGTACTGAATGGAGCACTGGGTGTTATACGCAAACAATGAATCATGGAACACTACATCAAAAAATAATGATGTAATGCATGGTGATTAACATAACATAATAAAATTTAATTTTTTAAAAAAAGCAAAAAATTGAAATCACTAGAATAAACCAATACCCCTTCAAAAAAAATGGTTAAGGCATATTCTAAATATGCCACTGGAAGAGTACAAAATAAGCAATATGCTTTCCTAATCCAAAACACTATGTAACAATCACAAATTTATAATGATGACACTGTGGAACTGCCAAATTCATAAATATATTCTAATCTAAATTAGCAAAGAGAGGTTACATTCGGATATAGTTTTAATATTGTTTTCTCCCCCCCCCTTTTTTTTCAAATTCAAAAGAATTCACTTGTAACCTTTTTTTTCTACATACTTCTCAGTCACTTGGAATGCTCGTGTAACTAGAACATTTAATTTCAAATCAATTTAAATATTGTATATATTTCTGATTTTTGTTTTACAGTCTCAATGAAAAAATCTCTATTTTCAGGCCTAATGTTTTCTTTCCAAATGTTGCTAGTGCTTGTATAGTTGCATGACTAGTTATTTGGTTTCTTTTGGAAGGAAGCTTTGTGCTGAGAGCCTTCTGTACCTGTGTCTCATTTTCTATCTCAGTCTGCATCAAGCCTGAGATTTACTGGGAATTCAAAAGCACCTTATAAACTAAGTGATACAGAGCTACTTTTAAGATTTGGATTTCTTACAAAATAACACTTGTTAAAAATATTTTTGAAAGATTTAGAAATGATATCACATGGAAGTTGTTAACAACATCAACATGATCCTTAAACCAGATGTTACTTTTGTTTACATGCTCATTTTTCTTATACTTGGTTTGGTTTCTCCTTTTAGGAATGGCAGAATTCTATTCAGAAGAATGCAGGACTTGCATTTATTGAACTCATCAATGAAGGAAGGTAATTAATTTTACAATTTTTAGACAGTTAGTCCGTGTACATTTTATTCCGCTAGGCAACTGCTCTCCTACCATCTGTTCTAAAAATGAATAAGAAAATATACTTGAGTTAAATAATTTATCACAGAGGTAATTAAACTTAAAAGGAACAAAGTTTAAGATATAAATCATATTTATTTTAGAGTGGGGAAAAGCATCTATGAACTAAAGGAACAAACTTTATAAGGTTTTTGTGAGATTTAAGCCCCATCCTACTGGGTAGTAAAGTTGTTTAACACAGATCAAGTGAACCCAGCCTGCAGTTCCATCTGCCACTCCATCTGTTTTCAAAGCCTTGCTCAGTGTTCACTCCCTCAGCCCATCTCAGTTCATGAGAAGTAGTTTTATCTGAACATACCATGCTCTCGGATACCCAACTGAAAATGTGAAGAATGTTAAACATGGGGAGTAGAACAGTCAGGTTAGGAATTCATATATCCCACTGTTAAAATGATGCTGTAAGTAAATTTGTGTTTGAGCTCATTATTGTATTTATCACTTTAGGATAAACAATTGTTCACTGTGATTTTTCCAATACTTTATTGGCAGTGGATACATTGAGACAGATGTTAAGTGTCACCATTTTGAGATGTATAGCTTCTGTCAGCCAACAACCTGCATCCTTTACAATGTTTTTTCTATGATACAGTGTATTCTTTGGAAAATAGCGACTGAATATTTGGCATGATCTATTTATTTCTTATTTGAAACTATATTTAACTAAATTGATGATAAGGGAATAATGCTTACTGTATATAAAACTCTTTATCCAGGGAAGTGTCATGAAAGAATATTTTACAATATATTCCTTGAAAATTAGTTTATATATGGTAATGAAACCCATTTTAAAAAAAATAAATGCAGTTTAGTATTCCTTTTTAGTAATAGTTTTTTCCCATCAGTTTATTATAATAATTCAGAGACATAACTTCTGTTTTTATAATTCATTTTATTATATATTTTTCATTTACATATTCTATGAATTATTTTTAGTCATAATAACACATCTCTAAAAGTTAAAATAAATTTTACATTCGCTGCAAAGCAAAAGATGCAGGAAAATACCAGTTTTCTTTTATAACATAAATACTAATTTTACATAGTAACATACTGTAGTTCTTATAAAACTTTGTTGTGATAAGAATTGATAATAATTATTATCCATCTTAAGGCAATGAAAAATAGAAAAAAAATGTTGCCCAGACTATTCATTTTCATATCAATTATAAAAATCTCTCAATTCACATACATGCTAATTTTGTCAATTAGTTTCAACTGTGAAGGAAAAAACAAAAATTATCTTGTCATCAGTAACTCTCTGAAGAGTTAATATAATTGAATCTTCAGCACTTAAGATTATAGCTATTGTCTTAGAACAGGGAAGGGGAAAAATTTGCTAATACCAGAGGTTTTAGTCCTGATAACTATTTTATTGTTCAGTGATAGAGTTTGGAGTTCATTTTATTTTGTTTTAGGAAAAGAGTTGGAATTATAGAAACCTTCAAAATGCTCACCATAATGTTCTTTGTGCCATTCTAGATTTTTGTTTTCATTTTTCATACCAGTTGCTCCTCCAATAAAGATTATTTTGGAACAAAAATTGAAACATGACTAGCTATAAATATAAAAGAACAGATCTTGTGTGCATTAATATAGCAAATGTCTGTTCAGTACTTACTACATACTAAATCCTATTATAGGAGGTGGGACTAGAGAAGTGAATGAGACACACATGGTTCTGAATTTTGGGGGAAAGGCAAAATTAGAATAACACATACACTATTATAAAGGTGCCGTGATAGAGGTGGTATAGCTATTAATACAAGTAGAAGACAGGGCACTTACTCTAGACTGAAAGGGTCTTTTCTCCAGGTGGTAGGACTGTCAGGGTTTTCAAAAAATGTATCCAAGAAAAACCAATACAATAGAACAAAGATGGCCTTTTCATTGAATAGTGCTGGACATCCACATGCAAAAAAATAAATCTAGATACAGATCTTATACTTTTCACAAAAATTAACTCAGAATGGATCAGAGATCTGAATGTAAAATGCAAAACTATAAAATGTATAGAAGATAGCATAGGAGAAAATCTAGATGACCTTGGGTTTGGTGATGACTGTTTAGATACAGTAACCAAAGACATGATCCATGAAAGAAAGAGTTGATAGTCTGGACTAAATTAAAATTAAAGACTTCTGTTCTACAAAAGTCAGTGTCAAGAGAATGAAAAGACAAGCCACAGACTGGGAGAAAATATTTGCAAAAGCCACTTCTGATAAAGGACTGTTCTCTAAAATATACAAAGAACTCTTAAAATTCAACAATAAGAAAATAAACAACCTGGTTTAAAAAATGAGCCGAAGACCTTAACAGACACCTCAGCAAAGAAGAGCTACATATGGCAAATACGCTTAGGAAAAGATGCCCGTCATCGTAAGTCATCAGGAAAATGCAAATCAAAACAATGAGATACTACTACACACCTATTAGAATGGCCAAAATCTGGAACACTGACAACACCAAGTGCTGACCAGGATGTAGAGCTACAGGAACTCTCATTCACTGGTGGTAAGAATATGAATGGTACAGCCACTTTGCAAAATAGGTTGGTAGTTTTTTATAAAACTTAACATATTCTTACTACAGATCTAGCAATCGTTCTCCCTTATATCTACTCAAAAGATTTGAAACTTATGTTTGCATAAAAACCTGCACACAGATGTTGATAGCTACTTTATTCATAATTGCCAAAACGTGGAAGCAACCAAGATGTCCTTCAGTAGATGAATGGATAAGCAGATACCCATTTATTTATGTAGTACAACCAGACAATGGAATATTTATTATCTAGTGATAATAAGAAATGAGCTCTCTGGATGCCTGGGTGGCTCAGTCAGTTAAGCGTCTGCCTTCAGCTCGGGTCATGATCTCAGGGTCCTGGGATTGAGCCCCACATCGGGCTCTCTGCTCAGTGGAGAACCTGCTTCTCCCTGTCCCTCTGCTGTTCCCCTGCCTGTGCTCTCTTACTCCCCCTCTCTCTCTCTGTCCAATAAATAAATAAAATCTTTACAAAATAAACAATAAAAATAAATGAGCTGTCAAGCCATGAAAATACATGGAGAAACCTTAATTGCATATTACTAGGTAGAAGAAACCAGTCTGAAAAGGCTACCTATTGTATGATTCCAACTATATGACATTCTTGAAAAGGCAAGACTATGGAGACAGTAAAAAGATTAGTAGTTGCCAGAGATTAGGGAGGAGGAAGGCATAAACAGGCAGAGCACAGAGGATTTTTAGGCCACTGAATCTACTCTGTTTGATACTATAATAGTGGATACATGTCATTATACATTTGTCGAAACCCATAGAATGTACAACACCAAGAGTGAGCTCTAATGTAAACTTATGAACCTTAGGTGATAATACTATATTAGGGTAGGTTCATCATTTGTACCAAGTGTACCGCTCTGGTAGGGGATGTTGATAATGGGGGTGGGCCTGTATGTGAGGAAGGAATATCTGGGAAATCTCTGTATCTTCTACTCACGGTTACTGTGAACCTAAAATAGCTCTAAAAATAGTCTATAAAATTAAAAAAAAAAAAAACCCAGGAGGTTCAAAAAAAAGTGTATCCAAATAGAATGCCATCTTCACTGAGAACTGAGAGATGGTTAGAACACATAGGTGAAAGAAAAAAAAAAATAGAGGAATAAAATTCTGGGCCAACGGAATGGTGTGATTCTTTTCCTTAAGAATTTGTGTCCTCTTTACTGATATACTCCTGGTTTCTGGAATAATATCCAACACGTAGTTCACAATCACAAGTATTGAAGGAATTAAGGGAAGAGTGGTTACGAGAGTGTTTGAGACAGAATGAACAGGCAACAAAAGGGTTTTTAAGCTAGGATGAAAGGGACCACTGGATTCAGTGATGAGACTGTCAATGTTGATTTCATTCACAGGTACACTGGTGAGTACCTGTGTGCTAAAGATGCTGGGTATAGACCCAGGCCCTGCTACAAGAGAGCTTGCAGTCTCATGGGGACAACAGTCTTACAATTACTGATACAATAAATGTGCCAAAGTCGAGGGTACTGCAGGAGCAGATAATTCAGGGAATGATTGTGTGAAAGTGGTGATTTAATGAGAGAACTGGGGCCAGGAGCTAGGTTGTTCTGAGCTGAGGAATGAGTAGAAGATGAGTATAGTCCACACATACAGCAACTCTAAGGAATTTGGCCAAGAAGAGGAAAGATAGGGTGATTGCTGGAGGTGAGTTTTGGGGTAGTGGGGTATTTTTTGGAAGGAAAGAAGGACTTGAGTATTTTTTAAATGGTCACTGAATACTCTGAGAGGGGTGAGACAGAGGTATGGGGGTTGGTCCCTGTGGAAAAGCACTGAGAAAGGGGGCAGACAGTTATATTGGTGGCAGGACTCAGAGGGGTTTTTGATGATACCTTCTATTTTCTCTATGAAGTGACAGAAAGGACCATTTACTGAAAATGAAGAAAATTTGGAAAGGTGGGTGCCATATTTGAGAAGAGAGGAGAATATTGAAAATAGCCAGTGTAGAAGAGCAGGGGAGAGAAAAGACAGGAACCTTAGGCATCTGGCCCAGATGTTGGAGGACCAGATAGAGACTGCTGTCCTTGATACTGGAATGTTTTCCCCAGCAGTCCACAATACAGAGAAGACGGGCATTTGCTTTAAGACACTCATTTCTCATACTTCAATGAAAATAACGTCTTCACTGAGTGCCAACCCCACCCCCATCACTAGTCCGGATTAGGTGTCCTCCCATGTTCTCATAGCACCTTCCAGTTCCTCTGGTGTATACTTCCCATACCGCAGTTTCAGGGCCTGTTTCGTCACCGTGTGTTTTGTAGGGCTCTTTCCACAGTGCCTATTACAACACATCGCATATGTGTATCATTTGTATGGAGTTCAAATATCAGT